AACCCACCTAAGGTTAGGGATAAGGGATATGTACTCAGTGGTAGAGCACTTGCCTAGCACGTGTGAGGCACTGGGTTTGATCTCACCACCTCATTAAAAAATGAATAAATAAAAAGTTATTATATCCATCTACAACTAAAATTATATTTTTAAAAAAGCTATGGTTAAGTTTGTACTAGAATGCTTTATGAAGGACTTATTTTTACTGTGTAATGGAAATGGGTTTGGTCAGTTTTCTACCAAAGAAGAAATAGTTTTCCAACGTTTTCATTTACATTTGATAGCAATTTGCAGTTCAAAAACATTATTTACTATTGTTGTTTAGTAAAACCCCCTTTTTATTATTATACTTTGTATTTTTCTAAAATATGAATTTGAATAATTTGTATTTTAAATAATTAGGTGAAATGGACCAACCAAACATATGCAGTCAGATAAAAATGCTCTTTAGTGTGAAGTGTTGATGCTCACTGGCCTTGATTATTTTTCCTAGAAAAAAAATTTAGAAAATACAGGCAAACACATGAAGGTCTTTCCCAGGATTTGTTGGTGAGAATTTTTTAATATATAGTTACTAGATCTTAAGTCCAGAGAGTCTTCGTAAAATCCTATGAGACCACACAAAAAATATGCAAGGGAACCATAACTGTACTTCAAATAAGTGTCTATATTTCCAAATATAGTGATTTAAATTCAATGAATTATTAATCAACACCTGAGCACTTTTCCAAGTAAATCTGAAAATGTGCCAGCTCATGTAAATATTTCTCATGTCTTTCCCCTTGCCACAGAGAATTTATACAAGTGCTAAATAAATGCAATCACTGTTGTTTAATGCCCTGAGAGAACTCATTGCTCTTTCCAGAACACTGTCTGTCTTCAGCCTTTGTTTTAAATTGCGAGGCTCTCTAACTTTTATATTGCAAGTGTTAGACTTTTAAAGAGCAATAAACCAGTATATTTTCTTTGAGGTATATAAACCATGCTCAGGGAAACCCACCATCTGTTTGGGCAGTTAGTGCAGAGGGTTGTAGGAGGCTGTATCTGAAAACAAAGATTTTTACAAGTAAAAGCTACAAACATGGCATAGTAATCCATTATTTTTCCCTTTGTGTTTTGGACACTGTAATTCATTAGATGGGCAAGTCATCAAAAGGATTATTGTGTTATCTTGAAAAATAGGAGGCTTTTCATGCCAGTACATGACTAGACAGCCAGAAAACTCTTTGGTTAAGGCTTATGTTCTCCTTTTTTTCCCCTAAAGCAACACTAGTCTGTAACCTGGTACTGAATATTTTCTTCACCATCTTCATCAGTATAACTTTTGTTGTTGTTGACATACTTTGTATTTTCTTTTTTTTTCAGCTTACTTTTTGAAGTAGGCTAGAATAATTTAGATATATAAATAATCTTTTACTTTAAAGTTTGGCAGATTAAATCTTCTAGTGATTATATGAAAAGTACAAATCAGTGAGATAGCTGAAGACCAAATACCAAATAAAAACCAGTCTAGAACAGCTGTCTTCTGAGATTAGGAAATTAAACCTCAAAGGAAGCAAATCATTCATGTAAGAGCACTAACAACCAAGATGTATTTGGGGGAGCCACTGATTTTCTGAAAGTGGAAAATACAATAAGGAGGGTCACTACTTACATAGAGTCATCAGGGAAGGAAGGCCTATTGGAGGAAGAATCAGTTCACTTGGAATTTGAAGGATGAGAGGGAGGCAGCCAAGAGAAAAGGGGAGATGCTAAACCATTCTAGGTAGCAGAAGTGGCAGGACTGAAGATTACAAGGTGAGGGAGAGCATTCCAGAAACAGAAAGAATGCAAGCCTAATCAAAGGTTAGTAAGTGCCTGGAGAGGTGGGTTGTGGTCTGGCCATGCAGGTCCTTGCAGGCCATGATAAAGAATGTGGATTTTATTCTACTTGCTCTTGGAAACCATTAAAGGGTATGGAGCACAGAAGAAAATGATTTTTATCTTTCAAAAAAATCATTTGGTAGAAGAAAACAAATAGGATGGAGACAGGAGGTAGGCATGCTGGTTAGGAATAGTCCAAGTGAGAGTGATGTTGCTCTTACTCTGAATGGAAGTAGTCTAGTTAGCTATGCCACACTGCAGGTTAGGCTCAGTGCCTCGGCCTACAAAGCTTCTTAAGTTCTACAAAAGTGTTAAAAACCTGAAAAAATTTTTGGCTCCTAAATACAAAAAGAAAACTGCAACCTGAAATTGTTTAAAAGGCATTCATTCATATTTCAGTAACATTTCCATTTGACACCATTTCTAAGTCACATTTTCACATTTTACAGTAATTTCTGACTCTCATGGGTGCTTAGAAATCATAATCAACTATGTGTGGTGCCTCACACCTGTAATCCCAGAAACTCAGGAGACTAAAGAGGATCACAAGTTCAAAGCCAGCCTCAGCAGTTTAGCAAAGGCCCTAAGCAACTCAGTGAGACCCTGTCTCTAAATAAAATACAAATAGAGCTGGGGATATGGCTCAGTGGTTGAGTGCCCCTGAGTTCTATCCCCAGTACTCCCTCTCCCCAAAAAAGAAATTATAATCATAAGAGATCATGCATAGCCATATATTTTCTAAGAGAAAATTAGTAAAATCTTGTCAAAAGTTTAAAAACAACCTCTGGAAAATAAGCATATGTGATATAAAATATGAGTGCATTTTAATATTTGATGATTTGGTGTAGGCTTTCAAAAGTATGAGTACTTATGGGCTCAAAAAGTCTTAAAAGATGAGATGTTAGAAATAGAAGTGGGAAGAACTGCTACATTTAGAAATATGTTTAAAGACTCTGTTGGGCCTGCTGTGTTCAGAAATAAAGGAAGATTCCTAGAAGACTTCTAGGTTCCTGGCTTGAGCAAATGGTTACAAGTGTGAGTAGCGTTTGATGAAAGAGGAAGGACTGAGGAAGATGCAAATTTTAGACAGCAGGTGAGCAGTGGTGAGGGTGTGTAGACTGTGATACATAGATTCATAGTATTGATGACTTCCATGTTCAAGATGGTCAAGCACTATTCTTCAAGTGCTTGTAGCATCAGGGGTTTTTGTGTTACTGGGCTTCCTCTGGGACAAGGACCAGAGCAAACCACATGGTATCAGTAAAGCACTTTTTATACAAGTGAAAGGACCTCATGGGAAGTCATATTTGGGAGGGAGCTAAAGATAGAGATGATCACCTGCTACTCATTTTGCCTTGTTGAAGTTTCTTGGGTTAATGTGCTGTGTGATAAAAACTTTGAACTTAATACATGTTTTTGCCTAACTTTGGGAGAGATGAAAGGGGCACATAAAGTCTGGGTTTGTTGGGGCAGTGGTGGTTTTATCTGTGTATTAGATTTGCTATAGGTTAAGTGGAGACAAACAGGAGAGGAGTGTTAGTATAATGATAAATATTTAACATGAACAGAATTTAAATTCTGAACATTTACTGTCTTCTAGTGCTCAAAGTAAAGGTTCCTTAGTGAACAACTTCTTAAAACTTAAAATCAAATCATTTTAATAATTAGATAATTATTTATTATAATAGGTAAATTCAGAAATAAATCTAGACAAGACTAAAGAGACCCCCAGAGAATTAAAATATTGGTTACATTTTTCTGACATTTTGCCTTGACTCTGGTTCAGTTCAGCTGGTCTGAGAGCTCCTCCTACTGGTCAATTCCATTGTTGAAGCATATCCTTCAAAAATCTGATGAGACCCTGTGTGGTTCAGTGGGGAAAATTCAAAATACTGTTAGATTTTGGTAAAAGTTTAAAAATGAGTTTATTTTATATTCTGATATTTTCAGAGATCAAGCAGTATTTTTATTTCTGTTAGTTGTATGTATGCTGTCTGTTTATTTGAGAGGGAAGTATTCCTTGTACAGCTTTATCTTTTATATATCTTAACAGTAATCCAAAATTATCTTTTTTTTCTTTTTTCTTTTTTTTTTTACCAGCTCCAATTGGTGTTGTGGACCAAAGTCTTATAAAGGATTTTCCTGGACCTGCTGGGGGGATTTCAGCATATGGCCCAGGAGTTGTCAGCACTGCCATGGTACAAGATAGGGACAGCCGGAGGGATGTCAGAAGCCCATCTAAAGCCCCACATTTGCAACTCATTGAAGGAAAGGTATGGCAAATTAGTAAAATACATGGTTTTAAATGTGTATGTGGACCAGAGGCTATCTGGTTCATTTTCAGATTTCAAATATTTTTAAATAATCATTGTTCTATATTGTTGTAAATTCCCAGTTTTCAAATATGTGTATGCTACTGCTGGTTGTGACTGTGATTTCTAATCATGTTTTGGTTGTTGTTGAAAGCAAAATATTGCAGTGTAAATTATACTAATGCAAGTAAGTAATTCACTGGTCTTTCTGACTTTGTAATAATCTTGTTAATTGAATTACCATCCTAAAGAAGCTATGATGATTTGAAAATTATATTTGGTTTGTTCCAAGTAATTTTAAAGTATATGGCCTCTGTCTTGATTAATTATGTCGACTTGCATTTCTAGACATACACAAAGTGATCTTGTGTTTTTCAATGATAATCTGTAAGTGCCTTAGGAATTCCTGCATCAGTAATCTCTAATGCCCAGCACAGAGGTCAAGTGCTTCATGTAGTAGGTGACTCAAATCATTTGTATTCCATTATTATATGTTTTGTGACTATCACCTTGAAAAATTATTTTGTTAAAAATAACAGAAATTGTGTCCCACAAGATAACTTTCAACTGCTGGAAAATGATCAGAATTTTAAAAAATAATTATGATAAGGAGGCACCTTAGGAGAGTGACTACTTACATGTAAAACAGAAGAGCATGGCATTTCAGCAAGTTTCTGTTCCATTTATTAAATAATTTGACATATCTAGTTTTTAAAAAAAATTTTTTCTTGTGTATCATAAAGACAAGAAAGTATTCTTTCAAATTTCAGGGAAGCTTATCTTCAGCAAATGATTGGTTATGCTGGCTTATTTTGCTAATTTTTTAATGTCTGTCAGCAATCAGATTTGAGTTTCATAGGATTTACTTGCAATCAGTTTGAAAATAATAATTAAATCAGTTGATACCTATAAGTTTTATGTAATAAAAGTAGTCCAGTTTCCTCTTTAAAATGGATCATTTAATTTGTCTTCTAACTATACTTTGTTAATATAAAACCTACTTGAAAGTAAAGTTTTCACTAATTACCCATTTCTTCTTTTTTCTTCTTTTCCTCTTGCATTAATTTTTTCCTTTGAATGTATATGTTGTGTAATTTCTTATTCAATTATGGATTTGTTTTTGAAAATAGACTGCTTGCATGTGTCCACCTTCACCACTCATCCGTTGTGTTTCATCTTTTTCTCCAAGCCTGTTGCCAGTCCCTGAAGTGGACTTGCTTTCAGACATTTCAGAGGAAGACCCTTTTGGGGAGGCTGACCAGGTCACACTAGACAGTTTAGAGCTCCTTTCCACAGGTGAAACATCAGAGCAGGGAGACCCTGAGGTCACCACACTAGATTCTGTCTTGGATCCTATTGTAGTCCCTGCTCAGTCTGATTGTCCTCCATTGCACGAGAAGACTCTTAAAACAGGTGACCAAGGGAATTCTGAGTTTGGTTACTTCTCCTTCAGCTTCTCCAAATGTTTTCCCTCTGGTTTCCCCTCCCTTCTTGATGAAGATGGATATCTTGCTTTCCCCAGCCTCCCTAAGCTCTGGGTTTCCTTCCTCCCTCCTGATGTTCAGCACTATGTTCCTATCACTTCTCCTTCATTCATTCCTTCCCTTATCCTCATCTTTGGGCTGTTGCTCTCTGCTTCTCAGTCTGTTCCTTTTTCTCTCACCTTTTCGCTTCCTCTGGCTCTAGCCCTCTGCTATCTGGAGGCCAAAGCTACCTCCTTGAATGCTTCTTATGACCTTGATTTGAATGATAAAATAGAGGAAGAAGAAGCAGTTGCTGGAACTTTGCCATAAGCTTCATTTTGTGAAGTCAACAAACCACACTTCATCTTAAACACCTCCTAATATAGAGTGTAAACGTGCATAAATTTCAGATTACCCTCAAAATAATATCACCTGCACATTTTCATACATACAGTGTTTTAGTGCATGAGAGATAAGTGTAGGCACTCCTGTGTTGATATTCTTTGACCAGGTCCCACAAATTTTAAGTTGAGGGCAAAGTGATAGGATTATTTTGTAAACATCTAGATCATACTAGATTTTTAACAAAAGTAGTGGGAGAGAGGGAAAATTGTATTGTCCTTAATCTCCATACGTGTATTTGTTTTGCATACAAATGTTAATGCTGTTCCTTTAAGATGGGAACTTTTCATTTTAAAATAGAACTTAGAATGCAGTGGACATAACTGTAATTGACATTTAGTAATAGAACTCCTTAGGATTATTGTTTCTGTTGTTTAAAATCCAAGCTTGTTCTTGCATTTGTGAGGCTATATCAGTAACCTTTACCCATGACATTTGTTATGTCTCATCTCAGAAACTCCTTGTCTCCTTTTATTATAGCATTTGGAGACTAGCCAGATGAATTTTAGCTAGGATTTTTTTTTTCTCCCAACCCTAAATCATGTATTTACATTAAAAGAGTCGATGGTCATGTATTTTATAAGGAAGATATTATTCTGTTACTTTTAGCAAATGTGTGTGAAAAATGAAATATGGCTTTTTTGAGAGTTTAGACATGTAGCACTGAGATTAGGCCCCTTGTTGAAAATTAGGTGTCTGGTGTGAGGATTTTTACCCCTATATAAGGCAACTTTTTTTCAAGCATACTACCTCTGCACTAGTCAGTCAGTGTTAACATGTGCAGTATTTTTTTTTTTTTAACTTACTTTGCTAAATGTGGTCTGGTGAATTAGTATCTCAGAATATCCTGTGTATACTGTTAACACATGGAGTAAAACCTGAAGAGAAATGTGAAGAAATGTAGTGAGTATGCATGGTAGGAGAAACTACAATTTTGAATTTACATGAGAAACACCAAAGATAGCATTGTAGAGAATTAAGTGCTAACCAAGGAATTGGAAAATAGTTTGTCTCATTTTTCACTTCTGATAAAAAAGACTCTGAGCTCCCTGCTTACCTCTCAAAAATACTGTTAGTAGTTACCAAAAACAAAGGTAAGCATTTTGACACCATCATCCCAACAAAGACGGAAAAGAATATATGGTATGAATTAACCTGTAAAGATTATTTCCTTTAGTATCAGAATTGATATTTTTCTTTTTTGCCATTCTTTCCCTGGGGTCAGAATTCACTCAGATTTATGTTAATCTTCAAAATTTATTTTGGGGGTGCAGGGGAATTATTAGGTGTTGAGAAATATCCAACAATGAAAAAGGGCTTTTTTGGACCGGGGAGGATTGAATGCAGAGATGCTTAACCATTAAACCACATCCCCAACCCTTTTATTTTTATTCTTATTTTATTATTTTTTGGTACCAGGGATTGAACCAAGGGGCAGTTAACCACTGAGACACATCCCTAGCCCTTTTTTGTATTTTATTTTGAGACAGGGTCTCGCTGAGTTGCTTAGGGCCTTGCCAGATTGCTGAGGCTGGCTTTGAATTTGGGATTCTCCTGCCTCGGCCTCTCAAGTTGCTGGGGTTACAGGCATGAGCTACCATCTCCAGCTAAACAACTATTCTTGATTAAAGAATTTTATTTAAGAAGAGTGACTGTATTTTAAAGTATATTTTAAATACCATCTTAATATGAGAGTAGCTAAATAAATCATTTGCCCCCAAGGAAAGAAATCCATATCTAAAAAAAATAGTGATAGTATAAGGTATGATGATATAAAATATATAACCAATATAAGGCAAAAGACAAAATTTATGTCATTATACCTGTTTCCTCTCTAGTTAATTCAGACATGTCAGAGCACAGCAGATTGAATTATGCCGTATTTGCACTCTGATATTTTCATTCCTGAGTTAAAAAAAATTTTCAAAAGCAGAGTATAATCTAGGGACGGAGAAAGAGTGAAGCTTCCATTCTCCATTCCACTTTGCAAAGGATCATTTCCATCATTTGTACAGCACTGTAGGTGATGAAAGACCAGAGTGGCTTAATATTCTGCATCTTGAGGGCCATACAGAGAAGGTTGGTAATGCTGCTTCGCCATTTACATTTGAACACAGCTTCTCTGCACTGATGGCAGAGTTCCCACTAATGCTCCCCTTCTTTCTGGCTGCTTACTATGTGCCTTTCCAGTCGAAGATGGAAGAAGAAGAAACACAGCTGGAGGAGGTGGCTATTTTTCCCTGAAGTTAAATATCTGGTGGCTGCTGCCTGCTATTATTACTGTTGGGGTGGTATTGGAATGTATTTTCAGCGCTTATTTGAGTTTTGTTCGTTGTGGTGTTAAGTTCTTAAGATTTTTATTCCTCTTTTATTTTAAAGTCTTAGAGCTTTCAAATTCTGGGTCATTTCTGGTGCTTGCTGATTGATACACTTACGTTTATTTGCCTTCCCCCCCCTGTGTGTGATTTAATTTCACAGAAAAATTCCTTGAGAGTAGAAGGGGATAATATTTATGTCAGACATAGCAATTTAATGTTGGAGGTTTGTATAATCTAAGAAAACAATTGTCCTAATGGCTGCCAGGCTGCTGTGGACGGGAGGTCACGCACAGGCTGGCTGGCAATGTTCTTCTAGCACAGTGCATGACATGCATGGGGGAAATTCAACTTGGGAGCGCATGTTACCAGTCCAACTTGGTTCTTTTAAAGTGGCTAAGATAAAATTAGATCTATTAGAAGTTCTCAAAGTGACAACTGGGAAGAAAGTTCTTTTTACTAAAATGAGTAAAGTTTACTTTTAGTCTTGGAATTATTCTACAAATAAGCCCATTTTCTTAATGAATTATCTCTAGGGCATAGAATCTGAAGTAACATGGTTCTACATTTAATATATATATTAAGCAGAACAAGTATTTATTGATCTACATTAAATAATTTGACTGTTGATCTATGCCCATATATATATTTTTAAAGCCCATGTGATTAGTAATGTGGTCCACTTAAAGTATTCTGTTTGAGAATATACTGATTGAATTGTTTTGATTAGAAAGAGCAAATGATAGAGAGAAAAGAGACAAAGAGAAACAAAAAAAAATTAACTACCCAATTAGGAATGTAAAATATGTTCCCCGTGTCACATGAGAACAGGTTTGTTTTTATTTTTGTAGATAGTGAGTGGCAGTGAATTCAGTGGAGAACTGCATTTCTTAGTAATCTGACTAATCTGATTGCTTCTGGCAGCTTTGATAACTATTGTAAATGTATTTTTTTTTTGCTTAATTTACTAAAATGCTATAAAGTATAATAAGTAACATTGCTTTGAACAAACGCAAGAAATGTGCCTGATCTCAAGCCATGGTCATTTTCCCATGCCATGCAAAGATTTTTAGATTTTTATGAGTTTTTGCAAATGGCTATAGAAGCTCATAGATGAGCTAGTATGCTTGTGCATGCATATGGATTATCTAATTTTATCAAATGCATGACCTGTTCCTTTGGGAGTGGGATGAAAACTATAATCTGCAGGCGGCCCTGTGATTTTTGAAATGTATGAAAACATTTAAATTCAGTTACAATCATTTCCTGAACATGAATTACCACATGTACTATTTACCAGAGCCAGTCTTTCCATTAATCATGAAAATTGACCTTGTAGTTTTTCTTGCATCTTTGTTTGGTGTGTGAGGCATCTGAGCCCTATGTTTGTGCTCTGCATGACATGAGACCAGAATGAGGCTCATTATTATAGGGATCCCAAACTGAATCTACCTCTAGAAGAGGTAGTTTTTTTTTATTCCATAAGGATTAAAAGCACTATTGGAATTTTCTGACATAAGTCAACCTTTGGTTTTTTTCCTTTTTTTTTTTTTTTTTTGATGATTCTGGACTGGCTTTCCCTTCAGGCTAAGTGTGCTTTTGAATCTACTTTTCTCTATTTTGTGCTTGACTTACTGCATTCACAGAATTCAATTTTAATAGTAGAAAGGTAGATTTGCAGGAACAAAGTCATAGACTGCAATTCAAATTCAAGAACAGAAGGATTATGAGCCATTTTGGTGATCAGTTCCATGGCTTCCTTCTAATAACTGTAAATAATTATTTTAAAAAATATTTTAAGCAGAATAAATTAGAATCTTTAAAATGAGTCATAAAGATATACATTGGCTTTATTTTCAAATTTTGATGAACTCATTAGGGTTATCAATAGGTGGTTTTATGGCTTTTGAGACTTGGCATTTTTCTTGCTTTACTATGTTTTTTTTTTTATCAAGGGGCCTTTGTCTTATTTTTTTTTTTTTGGTTTTATTTTTTTTTATTTTTGTCCTACTGGGTTTTTCCCTTTTGGATTTCCCCCCCTTTGTCACGTTACATATTGCTAGGACCTGGATAAGGCCCAGGAGGACATACTGAAACATCAGGCTAGCATTAGTGAACTCAAGCGCAATTTTATGGAATCCACACCTGAGCCGCGCCCTAATGAATGGGAAAAACGACGTATCACACCTCTGTCCCTACAGACACAAGGGGTATGTCACTAGCTGTTTGTTGGCTATATATCTCGCTCCACTGTTCAGTAAAGTTTAGGATGTTAATCTTGTATATTGATCATCAGAAATTATAAATTGTTCCCATTTAATTTTTTTTATATTGCTAACAATTTTTTTTAAATACTAAATATTTATTAACAATGTAATACTTATTGGCCTAGTTCTTAGGTAAATTATGAGTTTCAAAATGCCTTTGAAATATTTCAGAGTAATTTTACTATTTTATTCAAGTAAGCTAATACAAATGTACTGTTATACAGGACAATATATCATAATATTGTATTTAATAAGCTACTTAGTTATTGCTTCTGAAATAAGGAAATTAACAAGTAAATAATTAAAAACTAAAGGAATGTGGATTATATTTATAATGTTCTAAGGTCATTGCCATGAGGATAATAAGTTAAAACTTACGTTTAAAGACTTGAGTCCTGTTGAATGTTTTATATAATACAACTTAATATTCAAACTTCCCAGTAATGATGCATAGAATAAATATCATTTTTAAAACATTTTTAGTCATAATGTCTTTTCACACTTATTCTTTTTTCTTTCTATAGTTTACTTTTCTTCACCACAAATATAAGTAATACCTGTAGAATATATTCTTCAAATGTTTCTCTCTTTATTCCTATGTATCTCTCTTTCTCTCTGATGATCCCAAATCCTTCCTGTGGTTAACCAGGAACTTCCATGGGCTCATCATACTTGAGAACAGTGATCATACTCTTTATTCTGCAGTTTTAAAAATTGTACAAAGATCTTATCTCCAATTTCAACTTTCAGTGTCTAGTGTGGCTTGATGTTGTCAAATTGTAGACATTTAATTTAGATATTCTAATGCTATTTTTATTCACCTTTCCTTAAAAAGCCAAGCTGTTGGTTGCCCTAAGTTTCAAAGTTTGTGACATTTTTAAAATTTATTTATGACAGTGGAATGCATTACAATTCTTATTACACATATAGAGCACAATTTTTCATATCTCTGGTTGTAGACAAAGTATATTCACACCAATTTGTGTCTTCATACGTGTACTTTGGATAATAATGATCATCACATTCCACCATCATTTATAACCCCATGCCCCCTCTCTTCTCCTCCAACCCTTCTGCCCTATCTAGACTACAGAGCAATAGTAACAAAAACAATATGGTATTGGCACCAAAACGGAATTGTAGACCAATGGTACAGAATAGAGGACACAGAGACTAACCCACAAAACTACAATTATATTATATTGGACAAAGGTGCCAAAAACATGCACTGGAAAAAAGATAGCTTCTTCAACAATGGTGCTGTGAAAACTGGAAATCCATATGCAACAAAATGAAATTAAACCCCTATCTCTCAACATGCACAAAACTCAAAATGGATCAAAGACTTAGGAATAAAACCAAAGTTTGTGACGTTGAAAGGAAATAGTACTTTAAAAACAGATTCGCAAAAATAATTGCGGAACTGAAGAACAAAACTTTTGAAAATATCAAGACTTAAAACACCATGTATGATAGGGTAGATACCACCTAAATTTTTATTTTCAGATTTCCTAGAGATAATATCAGTTTTAGCAGTCTGCTCTAGAGTTTTCTGGAGAAAGTGTCTGATGACATGCTAAAAGCCTTCCTTATGTGCCACTTCATCTGGCTTGTTCTACTGACTCACACAGTTGTTTTATGTTTGTGTTGCTATAGGTGTAATGTATGTGTCTTATTTGTTGATTGTGTCTATTGTTTAAAACAATAGAGAAAAGCAGACCATCTTTTCAAGGATATTTTGTCCATGAAGGAGAAGTACCTGACGGCAGCAACACGGACAGTTGAAGATAAAGCCCAGGAGGCGGACAAGGTGTTCACCTTGCATCCTTGGATCTACTCTTGCTTTTTGCCCCTTTCCATTTATTCTGTCCACATCCATAGATATTTCCTTTTTCTTACGTATCAACCTTAATTTTTTCAAATAAGTTTTTGATTAAAACTGATTCATATTTAGAAGCATAGAATCATCAGGGAGGTGCATAAGCCCTTTACTTGAAAATTCACAATTTGAAATGAAGAAATAACAACCAGTTTAGCTGATAAAATGATCCCTAGTTTGATGTATGTGGCTGACAGTTGGGAAACTATAATTTCATGTGAAAATGCACTGTATAACTCTTATGCAAACTGTGGTTCTGTTAAAATAACAAATTATATGTGCATTAGGTTACTAGTTCACTAATCACATATGAAAACCTGCATTTTACTTTTAAGACTTTTAGTGGGAAAAAAGACTTTGCATCATAGCAGCCCTTCTTATCTCTCTCTTGCTCCCCTTTATATGAAATGCCTGATGTTAATGAGGAAGTTGTTTTCCAGCACTTTTATATTCTCTCTTCTAATTAAATTGATCATGCTTACTCATCTGGTTGGCCTGGGAAGTTTAGAGTCTAGTGGTGGAGCTAGACAGCAGACAAGTATATTAGTAAAAAGAATTCAGGTACTAAGAAGTAACTGTTAAGAAGGTAAAATACAGTGCTGTGTTAGAAAGGAGATAGGGAAGCTGCTTTACCATTGTGGCCAGGAGGACATGTTAATTGAGTTGAGACCTTGCTGATGACAAGGAGTTGGACATGTCAAGACTTTTCCATTTGTAGGGAAGAACAAATGTAACACCTTAAGGCAGGAACTTGTTGAATAAGGCTGAGCACAAAGGAAGGTAAAGGCCAAAGAAGTCAGACCCACACATCATGTCAGGGTCTTAAAAATTATATTTATGGTTTAGAATTATGTTAGGAATGATGGGAAGCCATTGGAGATTTTTTAAGGTGAGTCTTGATATAATTTCCTATGTGTCAAACAGAAATCCTTCTGGCACTGGATAAGAAATGGATTATAGGGGATGTGAACGAGAGAAGAGATCAGTAATAAAATATTTCCCTTATGTAAAGTAGATTTTGTTAATCACTAGAGAGTAATCATTAGATGCACAGTAAAGAGTGGGAAAGGAGGGAAACAATACGAAAATTCCCTTAAGGACTTTGAGGTCCAGGAGAGGTGAAATAATTTCTGGAACACTGCAAATGAGAAACGTAATGTTATAAACCCAAAGCAAGTGGTACGTCTCTCTCTCTCTCTCTCTCTCTCTCTCTCTCTCAAGTTTAGCTTGAGATTCAAAGCCAGTTAGACAGTTTGTATATAATAAGGTCTTTAATATTATATGCTTTTAAATATATTTGTAAACATCTGTCTTCCATAAGCAGGCCAAATGGCATCATTTGATCCAATGTAGAGTGATGTCTTTGGATTTCTGCAGTAGGAAACTGGAATTTGGATGAAGATGTTTAAAATTATTTTTCTGGATCTCATGTTTTAGAAATGTACAATATAGCTGGGCGTGGTGGTGCACACTTGTAATCCCAGTGGCTTGGGGGGCTGAGGCAGGAGGATAGTGAGTTCAAAGCCAGCCACAGCAACAGCGAGGTGTGGCTGTGGCTGTGGCTCAGTGGTTGAGTACCCTTGTGTTCAAAATCCCTGGTACTCCACCTCAAATGTACAATATAAAATGTCTTATAAATGTTATAGTAAAATGAAGTTATGTGAAATTTAAATCAGGAAAAGCCCCTATTCAGCTTATCTGCATTTGAAGTTGCAACTTTTTTCTGTACTTTTCCTCTCCAATACATGTGAAAAAATACATACTTATTTGCCATGCATGTAGATTGTTCTAACTATATGCATTTATTTACCCCAGGAATACATTAAATACATGCATATGTTTTTTCCCCTGAAATAACGTACTACTATTAACTCAAAGTATGTGAGCAGTTGAATATACTGCAATGTTTTGACTTTAACAATTCCTTTTTTTCTAGCTTTTTAAAATTGGTACATTGTAGTTGTACATAATGATGGGATTTGTTAAATATTCATGCATGCACACAGTATGACAATATAATTTGGCCAGTGTTACTCCCAGTACTTCCTCTGTTCCCCCTTCCTCGCATCCCCTGTTTCCTCAGAATTCATTTTTAATTTCGGTCCTCATATCTGTATTTTCTTTTTGCTAAGGATTTTGCAAGGTTTCTTGTTTATCTTTGAATTATATTCCTTATTGAAATGCAAAATCAAAGATTATGTGCAAGTATATAATTTGACCAAATTTTCCAAATTCTCATATATGGGTTTTATAGGTTTTTATAAGCAGTAATAATTTTTTGTTTTAAAAAAATAGGTGCACTGAACTTTTAATATTAAAATGGTTTTGGTTTGAAAGTGAATGATTTTGAAAATAGAACAAAAAATTGGAAACCAAGTCATTTAGTCCTCAATGGATAAATAAGTCAATTGTGTATCCTCTTAAGAATTATGAGAATTATGACAACGTGGATAAAGTATTTTCATGAGTCTAACAGAGATTATCTAGACAGTAGTTTTCAGATGCTTTGAAGGTATTTTATTGAATAATTAAATGTGTGACACTTATTTAAATTCCCCAATATTCTCTTATTGGGAAGGACTCTCTTTTTATCCCACCCTTACCCCTAGAGATGGTGTCATCATTGGGATTATAGTTGAACTGAATTAGTCTAGAAGTTTTTTTTTTTCCTGAGTATTACAAGCATTTACCATATTCCCTTCCTCATCCCTCTTTGTTTACTGTCTGAAGGGATGTCTCAATCTCATGCATTTATTTGTATATTTT